TTGTGTGGCCAAGGGAGATGAAAACAAAGGCAGATCCCTACTCCAGATGTCCACCTACAAAATGCTGTGAATCAAACTGTTAAATAAAACATGCTCTATTATCCTATTCTGATAATTGTCTTCCTAAAAACCTGAAGGCCAGGTTTGAATGAACAATTCTTGGGCACCTGGGAGGACCTGGAGGGGTGGGAGGATTGGACCCCAGCCACTACCTGAAGCTCCCCTTTTTCTTCCACAGTCTTGTCCCCCTCGGGCCGAGGCCACATCCCGGTAGCCTGGGCTGCTCTGGGCCCGGGGAGGAAGTCTAGGTGGCCCTGGAAGTCGTCTGGGGGCCTTTGAAAAAGGAATTCCAAGGTGTGGGCTAGCAGGGCTCATCCCCTTCTGCTCCGCTCCCCACCCGGTGATTAGGGACCCGCAGGGAGGTCCGGGGCACTCTCCGGAATGGGCTAACTAGCGCGGGACACCGACCCTGCCTCGGCAGGAGGACGGAGGCCAGGCCTGGCGAGTCCGGACAGGGAGGCCGTGCGTGCCCGCTCAGCCTGTGCAGGGCACAGAAGCGAATCCGACCTTGGCGGAGCGGACCGTCCCGGGTGAGAGCCTGCCCAGAACCGACTGCCGGTTTAGTTAATGATTGCTTGACAGGGGCTTCACCTTTTCACGGTGTGGAGAAAGAGCCTGGAAGGCTTGTGTTGTGTTGTTGTTTTTTGCTCTTCCCACTTCTGGGGGTTGAAAGTAGGGCTTCGTGCATGTTAGGAGAGCCAGCTACACATTTAGCCCTTTTAAAAGACTTCTGTTCTTCTAGATTTGAGACAAGAGCGCTCTAAGGTGCCCAGGCTGGCCTTGAACCTGTGAGCATCCTACCTTGGCCTCCTGAGCATCTGGGATCGCAGGCATGCGTTACCTCGCCCAAAGAGTCTAGTGTTATTTCTGTCAGGGCCACCGAACCTTCTGTTTGTCCCATGCACTGTGATCCCCGTCCCCTCTCCCTGCACCACTCTCACAGTGCCAAGGGCCCATCCGTCCTCGCTTACCTTTCCCTCAGCCTGTTACCCACACCGACATTGTAACAGTCCGGACAGGTGCTTCCTCCGGTTGGTCCTTCACTCATTCCTGTCTTCCTGCACTGAGTGAAGTCCAGGGCTACTGTTTCTGTCCCCAACAGAAGATACTGCTGCAGAAAATTTAAAACTCAGGTGCAAGCCGATGTCAGCTGGTTGGCTCTAGCTGAACCCTCAATGATACCAGATAATTCTCGGATTTTTCAAAATTGCCTTCCTACCACATTCCCTGGTCACTGTTCCTCTTCTACATCTTTCTGATTGCCTTCAAGCGCCAATCCCACTTTTGTGTATAACTTTCGCCTCCTGCTTATGGAAAGAAGCCTACTGAGAAGTATTTAAAGATGATGCCTCCTCCTCTTTTGCCTCACTTCAGAGGAAGAAGAAGAGAGCTTGCTCCTTCCCAGGGATGGTTTTACTCTTGGGTTCTGAATCCTATGGACTCATTCCCTGTGTACAATGGGTCAGGCATGGGCCTTGCTCTGTTCTGCCCTTGTTCCTTAGCATGCTAGTTTTCTTCCTTACTTTTTTTCCCCTCTTGAGATAGGGTCGCACGATGTAGCCTTGGCTGGCATTGAACTCATGACCTTCCTGCTTCAGCCTCCCAAGTGCCGGGATTATACTATCACATCCTCCTCTCCCTTACTCTTCATTTCATCAAAACATATAGGTCCTGCTGGGCATGATGGCACACGCCTGTAATCCCAGCACTCGGGAGGCTGAGGCAGGAGGATCGCTGTGAGTACGAGACCAGCCTGGGCTACATAGTGAGTTCCAAGTCAGTTTCAATTACATAGTGAGAGACCATGTCTCAGAAAAACCAAAAACACAAAACCAAAAACAAAAAAACAAAGGAAAACAAACAAACAAAAAACATATAGGTCTGCCCACCCCTCCCCCTTCCTTCTTCCTCTTCCCTTTCTTTGTGTGCTGGGTATTGAACCCAGAGCTTCCCACCTGCTAAGGAAATGCTCTACCACTGAGCTAAATCCCCAGCCCAGCATCCAGTGTTTTGGCCCTTCTCCTACTGTCCCCACCAGTCAGTAGTACAGGGTTCTGGTTCATTTCTCTTTCTACCGAACTGAGACGGCACTGTCCGTCACTTTGCACCTGTTTTTCTTTGCCTTGTCAGTCTCCTTGCCCTCTGGCCCTTCTGTCCCATCTTCTCAGTGGATTCAAATCTTAGATCAACCCGACCATGTATTCGCTCAGCTTTTATTGTGGGCAGTGCAAAGTGTTAGAGGGAAACCACACAGCTGTGTGGACCAGTGCCCATGGCAATTTTGGTGTCCAACTCAGATGCTCGGGAGGCAATAATCGTCTTATTTGTGCTTTCTTCCTGTCGCCTGCTCTTGGTAACAGTTCTAATCCTGTGGCACACTCGTTTCTTTCCCTCTCACCATCTTCCAGCCACCATCCTTTCTGCACCTGCCAAAACTTGGGAGAAATCCTGAATTCCTCTTTCCTTTCTCTTCCTCCTCAGTGCACTCGGTAATCACATCCTTCGGTCTTCCTTGCCAGACATCCCCTACACCCACCCTCTTCACTTCATGTTGTCATTTTCTTAACTCAAGCCACCATTTCCATCTGATATGAGCTTCATCGCTCTCCAGCCCATGCTCCATCGTCCTCCCAGGGTGATATTTGCTTAGGGAAGGGAAGTAGAGGCTGAGTTAGACGTGGGGAGCAGGAGACAGAGTCAAAAGAGAAGAAAACCCAGTGTCTAGAAGCAAAAGGACTTCGTTGAGTGGGAAACGGAAGCGTGTACCATCGAAACCCTCTTCTCTTCGTGAAATCTTTAGTCAAACAAACCTACACTGTCTATCTAGGACCTTGAATTCATGACCAATGGCTTACGTTGCCTATTGCTTTGTGGACTTGATTAGCTTTTAGGGAAACAATAAAGCCCTGCGTCTTTCTGTAAGATGATAAGAGTGACCATGAGGGTGACTATTACTTGGCTTGCCTATTTATTTATAACAAGTATTTATTGCACCCATCAGGTACCAGGCACATGCTAATTGCTAGACACAGACAGCCATGGCTTTGCCTTAAAAAGCATTCTTCGTTTAGTGGGAGAACACACACAAGAAAGCATCACGGGTCACAAGTGCTCTGACACCAGGAGGTTATGGATATGCATAGATCCAGGACACATGTTGTCAGGGGCCTGGAAGACTTCCTGGGGAAATGACGTTGAACCCGAGAGCGCAGGAATGTGTGGGAACTATCGAGGTGCGGAGAAAGTGGGAGAGGATCTTCTAGGAATGTGGAAAAGTCCAGAGGGAAGAGCGAGTGCAGAAGTGAGAGAGGAAATTGTGGGGAGTGAGGCGGATGAAGTAATCTATGGGCAGACCTGGATTTTTATGTTATGTTTAAAAGTTTAGGCTTTATCTTAAAGGCGCTAGGAAACTACAGATGGTTTAAGCAAGTGAATGACCTGTTTAGACTTGTGATTTGCAAAGAGCACATGACAGGATGATTTGTGAAGTATTAATGGAATATTCACCAGGGTACCAGGGATTGAACTCAGGTCCTTGCGCTTGCCAGGCAGGCGGTGGAACCACTGAGCTAAATCCCTGGCCCAGGATATTCACTTCTCAGTCATCTTTCTCCTCAGCTGTGGACAGCCAACCGGCACCCTGCTTCCCACCCCACCTGCATAGGTGCGCGAGTGAGCACACGTGTGTGCAGTGAAGACCACATCCCGTCTCTCCCTCCCCCATCAGTTTCTTTTGCCACAGAGTGAAAAGCTAATTAATTTTTGTGGAGTTCATCTGCTGTTGAGAAAGACCCAGACTCTGAGTTACAAAGTCTAAAACAAAGGGCTCTGCACACAGAGATGAAACCAAGGAGATGGCACCAATGTGTAAGAGCGAACTGGATCCTCCTCCTCCGTGCTCTGAGGGGAGGAGAAATAGCCTGCTACAGAGGGGAGTACACTAAGCAAGAGGAAGGGACATTGCTGCACTGCTTTCTGGGTTTGTGGGGAACGTGGTTGCTCTCGGAGGTGAAGGCTGCGGCACTCGTATCCTCTATGGGAACCCAACCAGCCCATCACCGCTCAGCAGAGCCAGCAGACTCTAATATCTTACGTCCTAGAGGACGCATTGGGCCCTGTCTGTATTGACAGAATAAAAAACCACTGCATTAGGACCACCCCAGGGGAGACCAGATGGACACACCCCCAATCACAACATGCAGTCGGTCACCAACGGATCTCCATCTTCTTCCTCACTCTCTTTGGGGAGCCAACTCCAAGAGCCCGAAGACTAAGAAGTAAGAACAGATTTATCTGCTCTGCCGCCCGCCGCCCAGAAGGGCACCACTGTGGTTATTCTCTTTCACGGATTGGGAGATACTGGGCGTGAATGGGCAGAAGCCTTTGCAGGTATCAGAAGTTCACATATCAAATACGTCGGCCCACATGCGCCAGTGATGCCTGTAACATTAAACATGAACATGGCTGTGCCTTCTTGGTTTGATATCATTGGGCTTTCCCCAGATTCTCGGGAGGATGAACCTGGGATTAAATGGGCAGCAGAAAATGTAAAAGCTTTTATAGAGCAAGAGGTGATGCCTGGCATTCCTTCTAACAGAATTATTTGGGGAGGATTTTCTCGGGGAGGAGCCTTGTCTCCATACGCTGCTCTAACCACACGGCACAGACTGGCGGGTGTCACTGCGATTAATTTCTGGCTTCCACTTTGGGCTTTATTTCTGCAGGGTCCTATCAGTGGTGTGAACAAAGATATTTCTATTCTCCAGTGCCACTGACACTTTGACCCTTTAGTTCCCCTAATGTTTGGTTCCCTTACTGTTGAAAACTAAAATCGTTGGTAAATCCTGCCAATGTACCCTTCAAAATGTATGAAAGCATGATGCATAGTTCATGTCAACAGGAAATGATGGCTGTCAAGCAATTCATTGATAAACTCCTACCTCCAATTGATTGACGTTGCCAAGAGGCCTTGTGTAGGACACCAGCAGCAAGCCGGGCGTGGTGGCACATGCCTATAATCCCAGCACTCGGGAGGCTGAGGCAGGAGAATTGCTGTGAATTCAAAATCAGCCTGGGCTACACAGTGAGTTCCAGGGTAGTGTCAACAACACAGTGAAACCCTGCCTAAAAAAAAAAGAGAGAGAGAGAGAGAGAGAGAGAGAAACATTTTTATTTCAAGTTATTTTTAAAAATTAGTCTTTTGGGGCCGGGGATTTAGCTCAGTGGTTCTGCCACCTGCCTTTCAAGTGCAAGGACTAGAGTTCAATCCCCGGTACCAAAAAGAAAAAAAAAAAATTAGTCTTTTGTGCAAACATAAAAACAGAAGTCATTTGATTTTAAATAGTCAAAATTTCCAGATTAATAGTAAAAAATTATATGAAAACAAATTTTGGGGTAATAAAGGTTAATCAGAACCCTATGAATATGGTATAATTACTATACAGTTTAAAATTGTAGGAAAAATATATGCTAACTGCTAATTTTCTGCTGCATTTCATCTTACCAAAACAATGGTAAGAATGCATTTTTTTTTGTTTTGTTTTGTTTTGGTTTTTTGAGACAGGGTCTCACTCTGTAGTTCAGACAGCCCTGGAGCCCACTGTGTAGCCCAGGCTGGTCTCGAACTCAAAGCAATCCTCCTGCCTCAGCCTCCCAAGTGCTTGGATTACAGGCGTGTCCACCACACCCAGCAAGAATGCTAACTGATCATGGAAATATCTGGCGATGGACTACATAGGATGTTTATAATGAAGCCATATGCTTATCTGGATTTAAAATTTTTAAACAATCATTTACTATGTCATTCTGCTTTACCTTGAAGAACTGTAGACTTATTTCAGTTATATATATCAGTAAGACCTTATTTATAGTAAGAAATATTCCATTAAAATGGTGCTATAATGTGGGGCAATATAAATGTTTTTCATGGTTTCTATCAATGTGAAATAAAATATAATTCTGAAAAAAAAAGACGAAGCAAGAACAGGGGAAGGATGCACTGCAACTGAATTCTTACTGGGGATTGAACTCAGGCCCTTGTGCTCTCAGGGCAGGCGCAGTGTCACGAAGTTAAACCTCCAGCCCCTTCTCTGGTTGAATTCTGAACAGACCTATTTATAAGATGTGATGGAAAACTATAGCGAATGCTTAAAATTTAAGAATTTATTACCGTACAAGACACATTGCGATGAATTCCACTGAAACCCGCCCCCTCCGACACGCTCATCCCATCGTTCCTGCCATTTCTGGTGCAGTCCTAGAAGTCCTCTTTCACGAATGTCTTTAGTCGCACTGTTGTGGCTGCCTTGGAGTCCTGAACTGATTCCCATGTTCACTTTTCACGGTCATTTTGATGTTGGGGAAGAGCCCGAAGTCGCATGGTGCCAGCTCCAGTGAATGAGGTGAAGGAGGACGCACCTCACTGCTTTTATGAGCCTGCCTTCCTGTTGGACGACATTCAGCAGCATTCTCTGTATTTTTGATCACACTTTGTAAAGACAGTCATGAGAAAGGACTTCCAGGAGGGCTTTAGAAAGTGGTGTGATAGGATAAGTATGCGGGAGGTGAGGGGAATACTCGGAAGGGGATTACTACTGATGCATTTTTTACTGTAATACATTTTTAAAAAATGTAAACATTCAGGGCTAGGGAAAAATGTAAACATTGAGTGTACGTTTTGATCATCCATTGTATGTACTTGCAATTGGCAGAAAAATCACCGGATTCACTCGAGAGGGTCTAGATTAAGTTGTCTGATAGGAAGGAGGCTACAGGATCAAAACCAGAAGTCAAATTAACTCCAGTGGGGTGGAAAGCACTCTGTTTTTGCAGACCTGAGGGTTGTGGACTCTTTTATCTGGGAGATTCCTTGTGCATTACAATCACATGACTACTGTGTGGGGGAATTGGTTTGAAAGGCAAACTGAAAACAGAGTTGTAGGTTGTAGGTGAGGTATGATGGCGGCAGGAGAAAGGCACTAAGTAGGCAATAGGAACAAGAATTTGGAGAGATGCCACTCAACATGTGAGATGATGAAGCGACAGCAGTCAGATGGTACATGAGTTTCTGGCTGCAGAGATAAGACCATAGAAGAGCTCATCACTTATAGCAAATTCAGGAAGATGAATGGATCGAAGAGAACATGAGTTTAGTTTAAAATCCCTGTGGCACCAACTAATACAGTTTTACGCTCAAGAGAAGGGCTGGACAAGGAAGAGATACGTGGGAACATGTAGATGGTGTCCCAGATGCTCAGGCCCAAGAAAGCGTCAACAAGGGATACGTCCAATGGTTCCACAAGGTCACACAAGGAGAGAACTGAAAAGTACCCCTGGAATTTAGCTACAGAAAGATCATGGGTTATCTGGAGACTGCAGTTTTGGGGAGTGAGTGGGAGGTGAGGAAGTTGAAACAGCAAATGTAGACTTTTCCAAGAAGTTTAGCTAGCGCGGGGAGAGAGAACTGTGGGCATGGGGGATGTGGCTTTATTTTTTCATCTCAGAAGGAAGGAACCAGTAGAGGGGAAGAGGTTGAAGATACAGATGGGAGTAAGAAAGAACAACTGAGAGAGAATGGATCCCAAAAAGTAAGGGGCATGAGCGGGTGGTCCACCGAGGACGGCTGGAAGAGAGTGTGGTGGTAGACATTTTAGAAAATGTATTTTATTGTGAGAAAGGGGAAAATCAATTTCTTTTTGTTTGTTTGTTTTTTCCTATATCTCTTACAATTTTTTTTCCTCACAGGGCCAGAGATTTAGCTCAGTGGTGCAGTGCCTGCCTGACAAATGCATGGTTCTGAGTTCGATTCCCTGTACAAACAAAACAAAACAAAACAAAACAAAAACAACTTCTTTCTTCGCAAACTTTTCCTCCACCGCCCCAGGAATCACATTCCATCAGCAAACTCCCTGTGACCTCCAGCCTCTTCACTGAACATTCTTTACCCCTCTGGCCCTAAGAAACCTAGCTAACCCCACCCAGTCACATTGCTTTCTCTACAGCCCTCACAACTGAAGGCTGTTGGCTCAGGTCACACACTGCCATTTCCATGGGTTTCAGTTCTCTGCCCGCTGAGACCCAGGCCACAGAGACAGTTTCCTCCTGAGGCGACCTAAGGGCTCGCAGCCACCAATCGTTTCTTCAGCACAGAAAAGACACTCAACCTTTTGGAGACTCCAAGGGTTTTAGGAGTTGTGTGCAAGGAATGAAGAATAAAAACCAAATATCTACTTCTTATAATATCACCATATCACAGAGAGGAGTAGGAAATGTAGTCGAATAAGAGGATGTCCATTGTCCATTCATAAGAAGGTCCCCTCTCCTGAGCGCACAGAAAGGATGACCAGGTCTGAGCAATGGTGGTTTGGGCAGGCTGCACAGATACAGGAAAATATACGGCAGAAGGAGAACAACCAAGCCTCTCAGGATTCCCCTTTGTCCTGAGTGTACCATGCCTTTAAGACTCCTGGGCTCTGGAAAAGTGAACTGAACAGTGACTCTGGGGATAGGCTGAGAGCACAGGGCTGGCTTGCAGTGCCACATCGTGTGGCCCTTGAGATGGGCGCAGGCTGGTGCCGTGTGATATTCAACATCCCAGCGCCCTTCTCTCCCCATGTACCGCACTATCTCAGTGTCTTTCTGCCTGTTCATTTTAGGGCTCGATTTTAGCTCTAAACTCAAAAGTCCAGGAAAAAGCATCCAGAAGTTGACAGACAGGCGAGTTCTCATTCAAGGGAAGATGTGACATTTAATTTCCTGGAATGATCATTTTCACTAAAAAGGGGAGAGAAAAAGAGAATTTAAAATTTCTCTAGTATATTGTAGGTTGATTTTTTTCCCCCTTAAATATGAACCAAGATCTACTTAGTTTCTTATTTTGGCCTCAGGTTGGTTTATTTATGGGCATACTTATTTTGACTTCCCATGGTGATTTTTTGTTTTACTGCTTAAAAGGCACAGGTCACCTTTTAGCTGCTGTCTAGTTCATTGCACATGAACAATTTAGTGTTCTTTGGAGCACTCTTGAGGCCTTGAAATGCCATACACTGTAGGGGCCAACTTCCTTATGTTTTCCCTGTCAGCAGATTTTCTTGAGACCATCTTGCTGGTAGACCCCATTTTATTGTTTAATGAAGAGATTCAATGAACCACTGAAAGGTAAGGTTTAAAAAAAAAATCCCTAAAGGGGCTTTGAAGTAAAGAATAAAGTTCTCCTCTCCAAGTTTGTTCCACTCCTTTTCATTACTAATTCAACCATAAATTGTGCACTTTTAATGACGTTAGCTTCGTGCTAACTTCCTAAGCCTCGGTGCAGCATCTGGTAACACACGGATCACTTTACAGCAGGTTCAGCATCGGTTGGCAAGGGGGTCGGGAAATAGCACTGCTATACGCACATTTTAAACGAATCCAGTATTTATAGCAGACCAGGCGGCTTGGGGTTTGGCTGGATCAGATGTCCAGTGTAACGGTCAAATGATCATGCTTACATGGTACTCTGCGTGACATAGGGATATTGCCGATATTATTTTTAAGATACAGAAAATATAAGCAGCATGTTAGAGATGCCAATAAAGGGTAAATTCCCTCATTCACTGCTATCAGTTTGTCATGAATTCTTTACGTCTCTAGATAACTGATTAAATCTAATTTGGTAAAAAGAAGTGTCTGCTATCATGCCTTATGTTCTATTTCTTAAAAATACATAAATAAATAAATAAAGACTGTTGGTGTTTGGGCGCAGCTGAAGCCAGACTGCTCGTTTGGCATTTTTTCATCTGTGCTGCCATCTAGAGAGAAGAATTAGAAACACCCAATAAAAACTAGAAGTCCGCAGATGGAATTAAGGGAAAATTGATACTTTAGATTTGTTTGTAGAAAACTTTAAGAAATATCAGTGGCTACGCTGTTATGTTTTGCTCCTCTTCATTGAACCCAATTATAGTACATGATTTGGATATCTGTTTACTGGTTTTTATACAATATTCTAGGCATTGCTGGGAAGCCATTTCCTGGATTCAAGTTGTCTTCTTTATATATAAAACTTGTATTATATTCTTACATATTATATTTTTATAGTCTTATATATAAAATTCAGTTGTGTAAATTTACTGGAAGTTGTAAATGGTCAGACCATGGCCTAAATTTTTTCTATAACTAAATATTAGAAAAATCCTCACATTCCCAGTTCTCTAGGGCTTGGGATGGACTGGAGACCTTAACGTGTGTGTGTGTATGTGTGTCTGAATTAATAAGCAAAAGAAGTTTTTCGATACAGTGGGACAGTTTCCTGAAGTCTGTGTATTCCACAGAACCTACTAGTTTTGTAAGATATTTACAGGTAAAACATTAGTTAAAAAAAAAAATGGGGATCTGTTAGGGAAACCAGTGTTAGACAGTTTTCTCAATTTACCATTGTGGACTGTGAACTTGTAAGAGAGAAAATTGCTGGGCAAGCTTCCCCAAATGTACCTGACCTTGAAACCCTGAGCTTTTCCGAGGACTGGCATTACATGGAGCATACTTTAGGAAACATTAGAACAGGGAAGGAAAGTTGGCCTGCTGTGTGTACTCCATGTGAGAACATGTCAGCACCTCTCCAGTCCTTTTCCCTTTGTCTAAACATTTTTAAAGCTTGTTTTGGGTTGCATGGGTTGAGGAGTTTAACTACAGATGATGGGGTTAGTTTCTCATAAGGACCTCTTTGAGTGTGCTTGTGCAAGCCTAGATGGTGTAAGTTAAATACTCCTGGGCAACCAAGAGAGGTGGTAATCATGATGGAGAAGGCTCCTGCTGGCTTAACATGGTGCACTGTTTTACAGTACAATTTATTTGCTCATGGGTAGATCTACACTGTAAAGTAGTGATAAAATGATGGTCTAGAGATAACATGACAGGTAATACAGTCCTTTGCTCTCATCAAGAATTCTACACTATTTTATGTGCTGTACTTTTATTTGTATGCCAACATGATAGGTTTAGTTACACCAGTGCCATAACAAACAAGTGAGCAATGTCTTGCACTATGATAGCTACAGTGGTACAACCTCTTCAGCTCCATTACAAACTTTTGGGTCCACTGGTCAAATATGAAGTCTACTGTTTTTTTTTTGTTGTTGTTGTTGTTTGTTTGTTTTTGGTACTGGGGGTCCAACTCAGATCCTTGTGCTTGTGAGGCAGACAGTGGAACCACTGAGCTAAATCTTGGCCCATGAAATCTATTGTTGACCTAAGTATTAGTATGCAGCATGTCACTGTACTTTTTTTCTAGCAGGAATGTTTGTTTTTGTTTTTTTTTTTTGAGACAGGGTCTCACTATGTAGTTGAGACTGACTATTAGCCCAGGCTGGTCTCGAACTCACAGCGATCCTCCTGCCTCAACCTCCTGAGTGCTGGGATTACAGGCATGTGCCACCATGCTCAGCCTCTAGCAGGAATGCAAAAGAAGTGGAATTTTTTTTAATAGTTGCTCATTCCAGGTAAAACAATGTTGACCTACAGCATCGGCCAGGTTTTCTCTGCATTTCCATGTCATACAGCAGATGGCAAAATGGCCTCTTTGCTTAGTACACATTTAATGTGCTCTAATTTTGTGTGAGGTACCAATGTGTGGGAAGACAGATTGAGGAAAACATGGTCTTTGTCTAATCATTAATTAAATGGAGCGATAAGCTTACATACACATCACTGAAAGTTCCCTTGTATAGATAAATAATGGTCGTACCAGATTTATTCATCATAACCAAAATAATAGGGCTTTGTTTCTGTGGAGCAAGCCACATTTGTCCAAGGAGAAAGAAATCTGCCTTACAGAAAGGAAGTTGCAGAAGCACCATGATTACAGCATTTCACCCTATTTAAAAAAACTAAAACGTCTTATCTGTCTTCATCCTAGGAAATGCCATTCTTGATGAGACTAGGTGAATAATATTAATTTTTCTCTTTTGATAATCTTTTTCACTTTAGAAAAGGGAGTATATAATTCACACTTTTGCCCCAAGAAGTTGTTTCTGGCTAGGTGTTGATAAAGGTGATAAAAAACACTTCTTACAAGGGAAATTTTTTGTTGGTGGAGTTTTCTTCCCTCCTCCTCCCTCCCCCTCCTGGACAGAGCCTTGAACTCCCTATGTGGCCCAGGCAGGCCTTGAACTCCAGTGATTGTCCTGGTTCAGCCTTCTGAGTAGTGGGATTACAGGCGTAAACCACCACACCTGGCTCACATAATTTGGGGGAATAGGGAATGGGTTCATATGAACGCTTTCAATCTTTTTTTTTTTGAGACAGGGTCTCATGCAATTCAGACTGCTCTAGAACTCGCTGTGTAGCCCAGGCTGGTCTCAAACTCACAGTGATCCTCCTGCCTCAGCCTCCAGAGCGCTGGGATTACAGGTGTGCGCCACCATGGCTGGTGAACACTTTCAATCTTATTGCCATTTTTTGCAAGATAATTTCACAATTCTGCACCTGTAAAAGGGGAATAAAATAAAGGTTAATGCATGCCATTTCACAGTAAACCTTTTTTCTTCATGAAATAATTTGAACATGGTCAAGGGAAGTTTCCAGATTTACAAACATATTTTGTAATTAAATCTCAACAATTAGTCAATCCCATGTGAGTCAATTTGTAGCTGACCAAGGACCTTCCCCGGCATAGCTGTCTGATCCTTCCCCAACAAATTCATTTCCTGAAGATATCTAAGAAACTCGTATTGAACTAAAAGTCACCATGTGCCGGGCGAGGTGGTGCACGCCTGTAATCCCAGCACTCAGGAGGCTGAGGCAGGAGGATCACTGTGAGTTCGAGACCAACCTAGGCTACACAGTGAGTTCCAGGTCAGTCTCAACTACACAGTGAGACCCTGTCTCAAAAAACACACAAACAAACAAAACAAAACAAAACAAAAAAAACAAAAATGAACTAAAAGTCACCTTGAAGACAAAGACTAAATATTTTTTATATTTGTAATCTTAACACTGTGCTTCACATGTTGTAAAAGAAGGCAGAAGAGAGAAACAAAGATGAGGAGGGTAAGAGTTAGGGATTTTAGCCTTGGCTTGGCTATATGAATTTAAACCAGTCCTGTCTCCATTTTGTCCCTCAATTTCATTATTTGGAAGACAGAGCTGTTGACCTACTTATCCACCAAGGCAACCTTTAGATTCCAATGGTGGGTGGAACAGCCTGGGGTCACTCTTGGTATAAACAAATCTGTGCTTCTTTATGTCCACTAGGGGGTACTGTAGTACTAGTGCAGTGGTCTACTTTATCTAATTCTTTGGACTAAATTTTTTCTGAATTTACACCCCTTGAAAATATTCCTTACCTTTCAAATTCAAGTCTATACTACAAAGTCTAAAATTTAATTCTGTAATGGATAAACCTAGGAAGAATTCAGCTCAAAGATTTATACAGTTAATAGGGTAGTTAGAATCATAGGGCTACAAACATAGTAATTAGAATCTTGGGATTTTGCTTGAACTAAAAGAAGATCCTTGAAATTCTTTTAAGGAAAACAAAGTGAAAGAAATTCCAGTTCTCATAATAAAAACAAAAACTTAAGTTTACCAAATCTATGTGATGGCAACTATAAAACTACTTAAGAATAATAATAACAACAAAAAAGGTTTAAATAAGATATACCATATTCGTGGATAGAAGACTCAGTATTGGAAAAAATTTTAAATTATTTCCTAAATGTATCCCTAAATATAATACAACTAATCAAAATCTCAATGGGAATGCTTTTGGAAACTTGATGAAAGACTTTAAAATTCATTGAGAAAAATTAAGTTGAAAACCGTCAAGAAAAGAAAAAAGATTAAAGTTTTTGAGGGGGAAGGGGATTTGAACCACCAGATTTTAAAGAAATGATAAAACAGCTGAAATTAAAGTATTATAGTAACAACAAAACAAACAGGCTAATGAAACAATAGCAAATCCAGGAACAAAACCAAACAAGCAGGGTACCTTGGACGTGTGTGTGTGTGTGTGTGTGTGTGTGTGTGTGTGTGTGTGTGTGTGTTGGATACCCAGTCTCTACTGTTCTAAATATGGTAAGCCTTGGTGGTGTGTGTGTGTGTGTGTGTGTGTGTGTGTGTGTGTGTGTTGGCTACCCAGTCTCTACTGTTCTAAATATGGTAGCTGGAAGAAGACACTTCTTTCCCCTTCTAGACAGATAGGACTTGAACACACAGCTGAAGTTTTGTCCGGTAGGATCCTGACATTGGATCTGGAAGGAGGGATGCAAAGGTGCTGGGCTCAGCAGGTTATTTACAGTACAGAAAACGATGATGTTAATAAGGGAGAAGAGAAGGCCTGCAGGTGACAGCTTGAGTAGAAGCATTCTGCTTAGACTCTTCCTGTAACAGTTCTCAGCCGAGTCCGGGAAGCATTCTAATGGACTGTTTTGACTGTGTTTTCTCTAGCCAGCCTTGCTGGGCTTCTGTTTATATCCTGAAACTGGTTTTTATCTTCCCCATAGATTTTGTGAGCTCCTTGGTATCCCTTCCATAAATTCCTTTCTGTTAAAACTAGCTAGGACAGGTTACTAATGCTTGCAAGTAGGAATCTTGACTTCTATAGAAACTGCTAAAGGGGAGTCACAAACCTTAGGACAAGGCAGAGGTCTGATTTCCTGGATTCATTATGTGTAAAGATAATAAAAACTAATTATTAATCAGAGATGAGAATCTGGAAGCCCATGCTTATGGCAGTGGAATTTAATGCCTTTCAGCATGAAGACAAGACAATTTGGGACCTGACAGCAGTTGTCAAAGAACAATTGGAGAGTATGGGGAATTCAGGAGCTGCATTTTAAAGTTGGATACTTTGGTTCACTGATCAGCAAATGAAAATCACTAGGTACTCATTTAAAAACATGAATTAAAATCTGAAGTATGAATTTGTTATAAGAAACTATCCCAGCTTCTGAAACTGGGGGAGCTGTAAACCAGTATTTGTTCTTGTTGATTGCTGACTTGCAAGTTAATTGAATTTTTTCTTTTTAGTACTGGCAATTGAACCCATGAGCACACTATTGTTGCAGATAGGTAATTTAATTAGACATCTTGTAGGCAGTTAGACCGGGCCAGCCCAGGAAGAGCCAACATGGAGGACAATCAAGACACATTCGCTGAAGGCCAGAATTGTAAAAGGAGAGAAACTACTACACCCCTGTGCTTCCCCTGGGGATAAGTAGCAGTGATTGATATTCTAAATAGGCATCAATCACCTGTGTTGGGGGACAAAGTCTTAACCCAGCTTTTCCAGGAAATATCCACCTTACTGAAAATCCTTAAACAGTTGTGACATATCTTGCTCCCCCATTTGACCCTCCTTTAATCAATATTACCTGGCGACTATGCTTGTAATCTTATTGGTTGGTCATGGTTTTGCCTCACCTCATGCCCACCTTGTAATTTGCTATTATGTCTTATAGTTTTGCCCCATTTTGTACCTGCCTCACCACATGGCTTTATTGTATAAAACATCTTTGAGAAGTAGGGTGGACAAGCAATCCAATTTCTGGTCCCTCTTCTGTCTTTCTTAGACAGAAGCTTTCTTTCTCTCAATAAATTTTTTCTACTCTTAACCTCTGTTGTTCCTAGACTTCACTCCTTGATTTTAGAGAACATGAACTCACGTTTCGGAGATCTAGTAGGTTTGGGAGTTAGTTACATCTCTTCCCTCTATATCATTTTGGAGGTCTTCCACTGAGATTACTGGTCAGAGGCAAGAGGTTTTTTTCATAGGTTCTAACATCAGTCTTTTTGCTTCATAGCTTGTTGCTTTTGTTTCATAGGCTCTCAATATTTGTTTCAAAGATTCTGGTTTTTGTTTCATATAAATTCAGGCCTTTGTTTCAAAAGTGTCTTAATTTTAAGTTGTGTTTTATTTATTTATTTACTTATTTATTGTTGTTGTTTTGAGACAGGGTCTCACTATATAGTTGAGACTGACCTGGAACTCACTATGTAGCCCAGGCTGGCCTCAAACTCACAGCAATCCTCCTGCCTCAGCTTCCCGAGTGCTGGGATTACAGGTGTGCGCCACCATGCCCGGCTGAGTTGTGTGTTTTAAATGTTTGCAAATTTCTTGTATTCTGTTATACATTGTCCTTTATTAAAATTACATTTTATTCTTGTTTTGTGTATGTTGCATTCGGGCTTAGTTGCTTCAAAATGCTGTAAAATGGATGCCTTATGAAATTGCCTCAGATAAACACAGTTCAGACTTTTATGTGTCCCTTATAGAATCATAAACACATGGTGGTTACTCTGCCAGCTAGTAATTGCCTTTAGGGCAGCTGCTCTCAAACAGAGCACAGGGTTCTCCAGTTTCCCTCTGGTGAGTCCCTGCTCTCATTGATGCCAATGGCGGGTGGAACCGTGACCAGATAGGCAGTTGGGTTCCTTTCAGAGACAATCTCTGATTGTATGGAACTAGTGGAAACTGATGTGACAGCCGACGGGTCAAGGCCAGGGCTATTCTCTGGCAGATACTCATAGGTCTTTCAGAAGAAACTAGCTCTCAACAGCCCATCTGGGTAATCCGCAGAAAATCCCATTTTATCCTATCTGGTCTCCTCTGTGAGGTGAAAGAGGAACTCTGTCGGTGATCATCAGGTATCCTCTGTCTCAGAGTGACCTGAAATGATGCCATCAGAGCCCTTTCCTAGGCCTCCATTAAGAGTTGAGCTACACAGGGCCGGGGATTTAGCTGAGTGGTTCCCCGCCTGCTTTCTCTACTAGTAAGACAGGATCCTATGTTAGACATAAAAAACAGATCTTTGATAGATTAAAAACTACACCAACCTTCTCCCTCTCCAAGGCATGGTCTTCATAATTTATGCAAGTAGGGAGAAAAAGTGCCTTTTCTGATAGGCTCTGGACTTTGGAACTTGATTGTGGATTTATAAAATGCTATGTGATAATTTTTTGGATGTTTAACCAGCTTGAACTTTATTTTTTCTCTCTGCTACTGAGTTAAAAACTCCCCTTAAACTTTTCTCTAACTTGTTGGGAGTTCATTTGAGAATCCCTGGTAGTCAGACCATTCCTCCTTCCAGAAAGTCAGACTAAGGCAACTCCCAGTGTTACAGAAGGAATTGGCAAGTGACACACAGAAAGGCAGCAGAATGGAAGTAAAAAAACAAGTTTATTCCATCGATGGGGGTTGACCCCCACTGGGTTACAACTCCTTCTTTTATAGGGTTTTACAGCCTTAATCTTATTTAGTTGGTTACATTGCATTTTCACAGTTCACATTGCTGATATTCAAAACATGGTGGTGAGGCAGTTGAATTTCAACCCGGATGCAGTTGTTAGGGCAGGTTACCTTTAAGATTTATTTAGTTATCTATTCTAGCCAAGGGAAAGGGAGCGTGTTCGGTCAGCAAAGCTAATAATGGTTCTTCTCATTTCTACAACTTTTGAGGGAGACTAGATGTCTTTGGTGCCGGTTA